TATCAGCTACTCTACTGTCACTGGAGAGCCTCCTCAGTGAAGGCACTCAATCTCTGATCCATGGTTCCTCCCCTAGCCTCAGTTCTGGCTGCACTAACCACATTTCCTTCTGTGCACCAGGGGGCTTATGATGTGGAGAGGAGACATCGTCAGCTCTTGGAGGCAGTTAGCTCCCTGGCTGGCAGGAACCGGTGAGTGTTGGGGCCACTTGTCAATCATCAGGGGGCTAAAGTGCTTTTTATGGAGGGTTATTGGCCATTGTCCAGGGATACTCAGTGCAGCTGCTGCTACAGAGCCCTGAGAGAGAGAGAGAGAGGTTGCTTCCCATTGTTATGGACTCCTCTTATCCAACTCAGTCCTCCCACTGCTGGTAGAACAAGTTTGTGGTGTGATATGTGGGTTGCATTTGTGACATGGACCTTCTGCATTCTCTCTTATTTAGGCGGAAGCTGACTGAGCGCACTGAGGCGAGTGCACAGGTGTCTGAGTTTGGTGTCAGCTGTGAAGGTGAGATCCTCCTGATGAACTAAAAACAAGGGCTGAACATTGTTCCAGAGCCCTGGCCAAGGGCTTCCTCAGTCTGATTAGATCTTTTATATATTTGCTGTGTGTTGGTAGTGTGGAGTCCTACTTGCAGTTGCAGTGTGCTGTCTTAGGAGGGTAGAGCACAGGAAGTTTTCTTTGCTACTGTGGCAGGTGGTGGCTTTAGGTGCCTTCTGCCAGGAATTCTCCATGGTATCCTACTTGCTCTGATTTACTGGTCCTTTGTCAGGTGCTGGGGAGAAACTGATCTTGTCTGACCTACTGGGGCCTATCAAGGCCTCATCTTTGCTGGGCACTGTGAAGAAGCAACTGAACAGAGTCAAGCAGAAGAAAGCTGTGGAGCTGCCCCTCAGCAAAAGGGAGGCACAGCGGGTGAGTGAGTGGGCAGAGGGTGGTGCAGGGGTTGGACATCTAGCTGGGAAGAAGGAGGGAGCATCAGTGACAAGAAGCAGTTGCATGAGTGGGGCAGCAGTGGGTTCTGCATGGCTGGGGGTCCTTGGTATTTTTTAGAGGTGCGCTGATACATCGGTCCCATATTGGATTGGCACCAATATAAGGAAAATTGACTGTATCGGCAGATGGCTTTTTATGGCTGATGTGGCCGATAAATGCTCTGTGCATGTGCAACCACAGTGCAGCATGGAGAGTAGCTGGGTCTGGCTGGTAAGTCTGTGGGGAGGGAAGGGGGTGGGGGGGAGGGGCGAGCTGGGGCGGAGTAGAGGATGGAGCCATGAGCGGCTCATGTGGGGAGGCAGCTCTTGCCACTGCGCATGCCCTGAGACAGTATGGGGGGCATGTGCCCCCTGGATCCATGTGCAGGGCGAGGGTGGGCTGTTGCTAGGGCCAGGGTGGCGCTGGGCTCTATCTGGCAGGTGGCTGGGCTGTACTCTGCTTGGGGTGGGCGGTGGCGGTGCTGGGAGTGGGACTATGGTGAATTTTGGGGTGGCTGCAGGGCCCCCCTGCATAGTTCCCTCCCAGCACCATCACTGCCCGTCCCCAGTGCAAACCTGGCCCTGCCCTACTGACAGGAAGAGCTTGGTGCCCCCACAGCCTGCACTCTACCTGCGTGCAGATCAGGGGGCACATGCCCCCCATGCCCTCTGGAGGGGTGTGCAGCAGCGGGAGCCATTCCACCCCCCACCTGCTGCCCTCCAGACGAGCCACTCATGGCTTTGTTCTCTGCCCTGCCCCGACTGTATAGCACCAGCCCCACTCCCTCCCTCACCGCAGGGGCCTCGATCTGCGCCGCCCCCCCGCCCCTTCCCTTGCCCCTTCTCACCACAGCAGACTTACCAGCTGGACGCCGTTCTCCATGCTTCCCAGCTGAATATCGGAATCGGATTGGTACTGGCTGATATGGCTCGTTAAAAATTGACTGTTGGTATCCACCCAAAAATTCTGTATTGTGCACCCCTAGTATTTTTCCACTTGGAGTCAGCAGCAGTGATTGGTCTTGGCCCTGTATCTGTCTGAACTACAAGTGTTTCTCTGTCCGTGACAGTGCCAACTGGGTTTCCTTGCTTGGGCCTGGGTCCTGTTGTGTCCTCATGAGTCCCTTTGTGTCTGCAGGTTGTGAGGGAGGCTGCCTATGATAAAACCTCAAAGGCCATCACCAAGTGGGACCAAGTGGTTCTGCAGAACCGACGGGCAGAGCAGCTGGTTTTCCCCCTGAAGCAGGAACAATTGACAGTTGCCTCCATTGAAGAGAGGGTGACTAGCTGGCAGGTGAGTGCTGCCATGGGGACTGGAGACGTGAAGCCCTAGCATTACTATCTGAACCCCTTTTTAGTGGTCGTTTCTGCCTGATACCAATCTGGAGGGGCTTCTTGAAGCTTGGTTTGATTTTGTGGTCAAGTTTCACCTCAGACCTGCATTTGGTTTTCCCCATCCTATACTTCTGGGGAAGGTCTGATGCAGGGAACAATAAGTGGAGCTCTCTGCTCCCTGTTTGAGTCCTTCCTAGGACACACAGTCACAGGGTCCTTCCTTTGGGCCCTTGGTCAGTAAAGTGATTCCCAGAAGGTGTGACCAGCAAGTGCAGGGTGAGGGTGGGCACCCTCAGATAGGTTGCCCGCAGTTGAAATCCCCCATGTTCTAGCTCCTTTGTATTTGTGTCTGATGCACAGTATTTCACATGGGGTACTGGGCCATACACTACATGAAGGATGGGCAGAGAGGTCTAGTTCTGAGCTTTGCTTACATTTCTGGAGTTCAGCTTTATTTAGAGCCTGCTGCTTCCCCCAGACCAGTGTTAAATCTCTATCCTTAACCTCTTTTCAGCTGTAAAACAACCATGTTTCAAAGCATCAAAAGGCCTCGCTGGGGAATGAAGGAACAGAGCAAATCTTTTGTTACCCCCTGCAGCTACCTCCTCCTTTGTAAATCCTTGAATGATTAAGAACCTAAAATCTGCTCTCAGTGCTGGTGCCTGACACTAGACCTGCAGCTAAATTTTATCCAGTTTCCTTCCTCACACCAGCTTAGATGGGCAGAGAAGGAAGTCTTCTCATCTGCGTGCAGATGAGGGGGAGAGGGAGGGGCGTGGTGGGTGCCGCCAGCCCCACATGACACACCACAGCACCTCCCCGCCCCCCACTTCAGCTCGCTCTCTGTGCCCGCTCCCAGGAGCAGGGCCAGCGGGGCAAGAGCAGCAGTGCCCTTCTGTGGGCCACACACGTGCCCCCCAGCCAGTGGGGGTGGTTGGGGAGCCATTGGCATGTAGCAGCCATCTCTGCCACTGCACTCCCACGCCCCAGGATGGTTTCTCTGAGCCCCCATCCACCACTGGCCGGGTGCGCACCCCTGCAGGGAGCTGGGGTTCGCACACGGTGATCGCCGCTGCACCACTGCTGCCAGGGTATGTCATGTGGGGCTGGCGGCGCCTAGTGCTCTTCTCCCTCTCCCCCTTTTCTGGGAAAGAAAAGTATGGCAAGGCACCACAGGAGATGCCGAGATTCCCTGGCCAGTTGCTGTCTGCCAGTCCTGTGTGGGGCATTGGGGCTTTCTCAGCTTGTGCTGCTGAGCCACAAAATGAAATTGCAGACGTTTTGCCAAACCCTGTGGGCTCACTTGTAAAATTCCTTGCACAGAAGAAAGGCTCCTCAAGTCCTAAGAGGAAGTGCTCCCAGATGGATCATCCCAGTCAGTGCATGGTTCCTGCAGAGCAGGACCCATGGTACCTAGGAACTAGCAAGAGAGTTGGGCCCTGGTAACGTGACAGGTTCCATGGGGCTGTTTGGTACTTGCCTGTATCCCTGGGTATCCTCCCAAGGGCAGTGGATGAGTAGCCCAGGTGTCCTGGCCAGATGCCACTACAGAGAACTCCATTCAATCCTGAAGTGACTGCTTGCATGTCAAGTTAACGTGGGACTGTCTACTTCCTTCGCTGAGCATGTTAAGAATCTGCAGCACTCTGTCCCAAAGATGGCAGGTTCTGGAGCCTGGAGTTGGTGGAGATGAAAGGTGCCATTTTGAGTACGTGTTGCGGCCTCTCTGAGAGAGGCTCTAGCATTCTGCATTTGCCACCCCCACCCTTGCATCATTAGTGACTGTAATTGTAGGAGCGTTGGTTGAGACTGAGTCTGGGTTTTCTCCTTGGCTCCTGTCTTTCCAAGCTTAAGTGGTTCTTTTCCTCTCCTCAGGAACTGTAGCTGAACCTGCACTCTGTGGCAGACCCCAGTAGCACCACCCCCTAGTTTGGCAGGGGACAGCCAGCTGCACAATAATACTGGAATGTTTCCAGCTCAGTTGGTTCAAAGCTGACATTGTTTCTTCACCAGAAGTCTTATAAAGAGGGTTGGGTTCTTGCAAAGCTTCCAGCTCTGTTCTTCCCAGCTCTGCACACCACTTGGGAGTGCTAATCAAGCAGACTGAGAGTTGCAGAACAGAAAAGTTGTCTGGTCTCGGTCAGAGCAGAGGAGAGGACATCTTGCCCTTCCTGGGGAGGCTTGTGTTATAGGGCTGCTCCTACCCCTGGAGCTTTGGTGTATAGAAACTACTCTAGTTCTCTTTTGGATTGAGCGAGGAGAAGCAAAGCAAGGCTGATAGCTCCCACATGGTGGGAGCTAGCTATGAGTAGGACATGGAGAAAGGCAGCAAGGCTCTAAAGGAAGGAGATGCCCTCACCTATGATTCCACACACAATCTCACTTACTTGTCTTTCTTGTTCCAAAGGCACGGACTCCACTGGAGCAGGAAATCTTCAGTTTGCTTCATAAGACACGGCAGTTGACAACAGACCCGCTGCTGACACTGCAGGAAGAGGCCTCTTTGCAGGCCATGAGTCTAGAAGAAGTAAGTGCACCTGCTCTGCTCCTTTGTGCAGACTTCACCGTTGGAGGCAGCTCTCACCTGGTAATGTATTTTTTTCAGGCCCAGCAGCGCCGTGCAGAGCTGCAGAAAGCACGGGCTCTGCAGTCCTACTATGAAGCCAAGGCACGACGGGAGAAGAAGATCAAAAGCAAGAAGTAAGGTGCTGCCTGTTTAGGGGAGGGGGTTGAGGACCTGGCTAGGAGGTCAGCATTCCATTTGTGGCATTGCAGCCACTTACAGTCTGTGTGTCCCAGCCCAGAGCTCAGAGTGATTGATGAATACCAGGGGCAAGGCAGCTCTGCAGGGCAGGAGGAGGCTAGCAAGGAACAGGTTTAAATCCCCCTGCATCATAGCTTTCTGGTTTCCTGCCCCAAAAGGATTTTGTCCAGCTAGTGTATGCCCTGATGGCTGCCATCTTGCTCTAACACTGCAGGTACTGTGCCAAGCACTGTACTAAGAAGAGGCCCTCCAGAACACCTATGCTGATAGTGCAGAGACCCTCCAGCCATTCTGCTCTTGCCTTATAGGTTCCACCGAGTGCTGCAGAAGAACAAGCGGCGGGAGGCTCTAAAGGAGTTTGAGGCACTTAAGAAATCCAACCCTGAAGCTGCCTTGTTGAAGCTGGATGAGATGGAGAAAGCTAGGATAAAGGTGACAATCCTGGGCCCTCCCACAACCTGGGGCTCCTGCTACTTGAGGAAACTCTTGCTGATATCTGTCTCTTTGTACTTCCTCTCTGCTCAGGAAAGAATGAGCCTCAAGCACCAGAACAAGGGGAAGTGGGCCAGGTCCAGGGCCATCATGGGCAAATACGACCTGGAGGTGAGGGGCTGTAGTGGGAAGGGGAGGGCTGCTGAGCGTGTGGTGTGGAGAAGAGGTGGGGCTTAACTCTGAAAGGCTCGGCATTTTCTCTCAGGCCCGCAGGGCTATGCAGGAGCAGCTAGCCAAGAACAAAGAGCTCACACAGAAGGTGTGCATGGAGCTGGAGGGTGACAAGGAAGTCTGTGTGGCTGAGGAAGGCCTCCTCCCTGATTCCCTCAACGAGGTGCAGCCTAGCAGAAATGTAGCTAACCCCTGGATGCTGGGCAAACTCAGCAGTGAAACAAAGGACTCCGGGATCCAGGAGGACCTCAAAGCCCCTGCAGATTTAAAGGAGCCTGAGAGCGAGGGAGAGGAAGAGCCAGTGCTGTCAGAAGAGGAGGCCCTGCTGCAAGATTTTGAGCAGAGACGGTGGGTGCGGCACTGCCAGAAAGGGAGCCCAGAGCCGCAGGGTGAGTACCTCAGTGCCCAACAGGGTGTGTGTGAATTTCTGAGCCTCTTGCCATTATCTGTCACAAGATGGACTGCAAAAGGCTGTGGTTGCTGTTACCCTTGATATAGGGGAGAACCCCAGCATTGCCTTCACCCATTTGGCTCATTGAGGACCTCTCACCCTGTACTTGGTACCCTGCTGCATTGGGCAGGGTGGCGGGGGGAGTTGTCACCTGGCCTCTGCTGCCTGGGAGTGGCAATAGTAGCAGTGTTTTCACCTTCTGGCTGCTGTCTGTAGGAGCTAGCAGAGACGAGGAGTTGCCTGAATCTGTGAGCCCCAGCCAGGCTGCAGGGCAAATAAACATGGAAGATGAACAGAAGCAGGAGGAGCCCTTGCTTTCAGAGCAGCTTGGCCGGCTGTGTGCTATGGAGGAGATGGATGTCCTGGCCTCAGAAGATTGGGCAGAAGAGCAGGAGCCGCAACAGCCTGCGAGGACTGAGCAGCAGAAACCACACCAGGACACAGCAGTGGCAGAGGACAGACCTAGAGGCAGTCAAACAACAAGGAAAACAGCCAAGCAGAAGATGATTGACCTGCAGGCTGTCCTTGCAGGGGAATCCTGTATGATCCACTGCCCCACCCTGCCTGTTGCTGTGCAGGATGAGGTGAGCAAGGCTGAGGACTGGCTCCAGTCATATTAACCTCTTGTCTCACAGAAGGAGATAAATGGGGGTTGGAGTGCCTGGTGAGTGCCATGGGCACTGATCTCTTTCTCTGGCAGGGAGGAGGTACAGACCAGAGGCTGGTCATCAAGGAGGCCTTTGCAGCAGATGATGTTGTTGCTGACTTCCTGAAAGAAAAGAACAAGGTGGAGCAGGAAGGGAAGTCCCAGACTGTGGACCTGTTGCTGCCTGGCTGGGGTGAGTGGAGTGGCACAGGACTCAAACCCAGCGCCAAAAAAAGGAAGAGGTACGTATGGGCAAGGCCCAGACTCTGTCTCACAACGTCCTTGGTGCACAGGGGCTCTGCAACCTAAAACGTCTTGTTCTTTCAGGTTCCTCATCAAGCAGCCACCTGGGCCCCCCAGGAAAGATCGACACCTGCCTCATGTCATCATCAGCCAAAAGCGCAACATCTTAGCTGCAACACACCAGGTTTGAAGAACCTGCCTAGCCCCACTGGCCTGTCCCAGAGACCCTGCATATGAAGTGGTTTAGACAGAAGGACATCTGTCTGCCCCTGCAGTGGGGACAGCTAGAACCTTAGTGGTATCAGTGCCCACTGAACAGTTTGTTATGGCAGGTGCAAATCAGTCCTGTCCTGTGCCCAACCCCTGCAAAACCTCCTGATTTTGACTGCCTGCAGAGGGAAAACAGAAGGTTCCTAGCTGCAGTTATAGCCTAGGGGCAATCAGAGCAGCACTTAATGCATGGCTTCTTGGTCACCTTCCCTGTCTCATTTGCCCAGCCAGCATCACAGGTCTCCTTATCTTGCTTGTAGACCAGGAGTGACAGCTGATGTTGGCTTTGGGTGCTGGATAGGAGTGTAAGAAGCAAGGTGTCTTGTTTGAACAGGCTAGCAATGCCATCTTACTGGCAGCCCCTTGTTCCCAACACTACACCAGCAGCCCCATGCTACCCAGGTGGCCCTTGTGGGACTACTCACAGCCAGGTACCAGGATGCAGAGAGTATGGGGCATACACTAAGCTGAGTCCCTCTCTTTCTCCTCCCTGCAACAGGTCAATGAACTCCCGTTCCCCTTTGACAGCCACCACCAGTTTGAGCGGAGCATTCAGGCACCAATAGGGCCCATGTGGAACACACAGCATGCCTTCCAGAAGCTGACAGCCCCACACCTCATCACCCAGCCAGGCCACATCATCCAGCCCATCTCCAATGAGGATGTTGCCTCTCAGAGCACCACGTCCACTCACAAAGCCAAGCCTGCAATGGAGCTGACACCCCAGCAAGCCAAACGCCTCCACCAGCACCCTCGCAAGAAAGTTCGATAAGACACAGTCAGGCTGGAGGGGCCCATACCACCTCTGAATGGCATGCCACCCTTAGCAGGAAAAGTAAAGGTGGCTACCTCTGGGCTGTACAGTCAGGCACTGGCTTGTACTAGGAGCTGTTGTGGAAATATCGGGCTGAAACATTCGTGTCTGAGGATAGGGGACCCTACCCTCTTCCTCCTGAATGTGAGCTTCTTTCCTAGTAAAAGTCCTGACATGCAGGTTCCTCTGTGCCATTTCTGCCTTGCCCCAGCCCCTTCCAAGCAGGCTGAAATGGGGGTTAGGAGTTGGATTAAGCTATAATGAGAGAGTGGAGCTTGGCTGCTAGCAGAAGGCATGTGTTCACACCCTGGTATGGTTGTAACTTCCTGAAAGGAGCAGTTGGCCTTGCAGTATCATGGCTGGGCTGCACCAGCCACCAGGTAAAGCTCTAGCTAGTGTTCCTTTCAGTGTACTTGGGGTAGAGGCACTGTTATGCTGTAGGAGGGGGCCATCTCTCTCCAGGTGTTGGTGGGTTGCTTGGGAGGCTATGATCTGAGAGGCATGTAATGGTGATGGCAGTTGAGACTGAGCAGTTGAACTTGAACCTCCCTGCTCTGACCCTCCACCTGATTCCTTCCATGGCTGTCAGACACAGCTTCTGCTTGGCTGTCAGCTGTCCTCCGGTTTTCCTCCTGAAGTTCCCAGGCCTTGGCACATTTCCTGAACAGCTGGCCTGGGCACTGCTTGTGGGGCAGCCCCACAATAGGAGGTACAGCTGAGATTTTTTTTTCACATGGTTGGTCTGATCTAGCCACACTTTGGTGTTCTAGCCTTGGCTGCATGTAAAAAGGGGGAGACTCAGCTGGTGATCGTCTATCCATGGCTGCTGGGGAGAGGACTTGTGCGTGGGCAGAAAGCTCTCGTTCTAAAGGACCCATTGGGCCAGATTTCTTTGCATGAGAAGCAGTCAGAGTAGGCTGTTTGTGAGTTCTCCATCTTCTTTTTGGTCTGCAGGATGTTTTTTTCCTTTCCCCTGGCCAGGCCTTTTCTGCTGCCTTTCCTATCTCTGTCTCATGGCTCTGGGAAACAGGACAAGAACTGCAGGCATTGAGTCATTCCCCATCACTGCAAGTGGGGAAAATATTTACGAGAGGAAGCTTTCACCAAGTCTGTTGCCTTGTTTTAGATGGGGCATGGAACATGGTGTTGTGCATGTGGCTTCTGGGCTAGGCCAGCCACATGGGCAGCTAGAGCTAGGGACAGGTTTTATTTCCTGTTTCTAGATGCAGAAAGGCTGACCCCAGAGAATGAAGAAACCCCTTCCACAACCCTACCCCATTTCCAAACTGCTTAAGATTCCCCTCTATTTAAAGGAAAAGAAAGCAACTTGAATGCATACCTAAAAGGGGAGAAATGGAGGTGCTTTGGGTTGCTGAGGGTAGGTAGTACATGGAAATATAGGAATACTGTACAAGTGGGGGAAGAGATGGTCATTCTCCACATGTACAGCCAGAGAGGAAACACGGGAAAGGGTCACGTTTAGCTCACGCAGGAAAGGGTCACGTTTAGCTCACATTTAGCTACAGTGGGAAAGTGGCCTTGCTGTTTTTGCATGGTACACAAAGTCATTGTACAAGTGAGTGGTTAACAAGGGAAGGTGGTTGCTTCACAGGTCAATGATACACGTAGTCATGCTTTGCATAAGTTGGTGCTCGAGAGGTGATTGCACTGGAAATGTCCGGTGTAGGAGTGGTATGGAGGACATGCAGCTGGCTGCCTACTGCACAGTGGCTGGAGGGAGAGACCTTTTAACCCTGTCCTGTGGCTGCAATGTAGATAGGAGTGACAGGGCTTTTATGCTTGTCCCTGCCTGGGCACTCTGCATATGCTCTTTCTTCAGCTCTCATCTATCTCTCAGATGTGATTTGGAGCCATATTGAACATGTGGGGAGGTTCTTCTGTGTCCATGGTACCCCCTCACCTCTGCTGTCTTGGCTTCCAAAGAGAGCCCTGCCATTTTTCAGCCTCTGGAGAGTTCATAGGGGTCTTGTACATTGCTGCTGCATCCGAGGGAAATACCCTTATTGTTTCTGGGTTCCTTTTACTGTTAGTGCTGCCCAAGAGTCTTTTTCTCTGCTCTCAACCATCCTTTGCTCTTCCCCTGTAAAAGAGGAACATGGCAGGACCACTCTGAAAGGAGAGGTCTTGGAATTGGATCTCTCCCATAGCCCTCCTCTCAGACCAGAACATCCCACCATCTAGTCCATGTCGGGCACAATCATGCCACTGACCCAAATGGGGAGGTCCTGTGTTCCACAGAACATAGCATTATCACTGACAGGCTAAAAGGACATGTAACTTTCAGACCAGCAGCTGAGGATGATGTTCTTTGGGTGAAGGAAATAAAACTCGAAAAGAAGAAACCACAGTTATGTTCTTAATATCCAGAAAGATTGTTTGTGTGGGCCAGTGGCAAGGCTGGAGCCAAAGCATAAGCTTCTGCCCAGCTGCATCAAGCTCACATCACAAATCCTGACATTTGGTAAAAGTAATAAATGTGTAGGTTCTTTTCTGGCTTCTTGAGTTCTTGTGTCAGATCTTCAGAGTCTTCTCAAAGACTCCCTGGCAGGGATGAACACTTAATTTTGGAGGTGTCTGATGAAAGCTGAGTGTATGCTCCTATAACTTGCATCCTCCATGCATGGTCACATGCACCTCTATACACACAGCCCAGGTGGTAATGTTTCCATGGAGATGCTGTATCTAGAGCCAGAGAAAGTACATTTCCATGGAGATGCTCTATGCAGAGCCTTCATTGCCTGAGCAAGAACATTTCTGTGAAGGGGGTCTGTATCTAGAGCCTGTGCAACCTGAATGGGCGTGTTTCCATGAAGATGTCACCTCCCAAGTCTGCACAGTTTGGGGCATTTCCATGGCAGTGCCACATTCTAAGCCTACATGGCCTGTGTTGGTGCCTTTCCAGGATGCCGCCTGGCTTCAGTGATTCATAACTTGGCCATAGCTGGTTTACTGGGAAGAAATGCTAAGTGGAAGGCCAGCCAAGGGGAGCTGTTGGCCCATTGCAACATGACCTGTGGTGCAATCAACCACATCTTTCATCTGCTGGCAGGGCCTATAGAGATGTGAAGGACCCTGGCTGCTTGGATCAAGCTGTAAGATTGCCTGCTGGACCACTAGGTCCAATGTAGAACTGACTGCAACTAGTCAGTTGATTGTCAGAGTGTCCCTTGGGCAAGCACTAGAAACCCCACAGGGCCTTTACAGGGCCAAAACTTGATTACCTGTGGGTGAAATGGTTCTAGCTCTGGCCCTTTAGAAAATGACATTGAAAGGAACTGGGTCATGGGAAAGTCAAGGGGAGCAGGTTGAGGCATATGATAATGGAGATCCAGTATGGATGCTACTCATAAAGGGCAGAGCGGGCTGTAGGATAGCAGAGATGGCAGGACTAGGCATGAAGCGCTTGAGGTGTGGGTCAAATAACAAACAGGAGGATTGGACATGTCATGGGCTAACAGGGAGAGGGTGGCATCACATCCTGGGCATTCAGGAAAGATGAGCTGGGCTGTACCTTGAAATGAGTATTACAATCCTGATATGGGGAAAATGGTTTTCTTTAGTGAGTTTCTCTTAGTCTTTGGTGTTTTGATTGCCCTTGATCTGAATTACTAGTCTCAAGCTTTACTTTGCAACTCTGGGTTGGTAATTGCTTATTAATTTAAAATGAAAACTTAAAGCTTTTTTATGATGGTATAACTCCTGGAGCTAGAATTTTTTAAGATGAACCACAGTTATTCCAAAGGGAGCTGCATAGGTCAGTTGGGAGGGTGACTGGCTGCAGATGGAAAGAACCTGGGTTTGATCATGGTTGAGGGTAGTGGGATTTTACTTAGTCCCCACTTCCAGAGCATCTTGGGGGCTTATTCAACGTCCTATCCAAGGAGCTACCTGGGGATAAAGGTGGTGAAATTGTAGGGCTGACAACATTACCTCCTTCTGTGGAGATTAGGGCAAGGCTACACTTTCTTTAATTACCTTTACCTTTGCAGCTATCACAAGACTCCTAATCAAGTCAAGAGAGTATGAAACACTACTACTAAAAGCAAAGGAATACATTTTACCCTTACTGCTGAGCACTTACCTGTGAGGTTTGTGGCATATAGACTTGATTCATGGCTTATATAGCTATTTGCTAGACGGGACTAGCTTCTTGGGGATTAGAATTCCTCAATTCCATTGTGGCCTTTGGAGATGAGTGTGGGCCAGTGGGTACAAGTATATAGCACTGGCATTCTCTGAAACAGACTGATGCCATGGATGAATATTGGCTGCTGTCCTAGAAACCTGGCTTCTGTTTCCTGTTCTGCATGAAGTAACCTTGTGCAGCTTCTGCTATCTCTAAATGGAGGGAAATGCTAGTAGCTTTCCTTTATTGGCATGGTTAGGCATAGAAATTTAAATGGACATTGGTATGGAAGAGGTAACATTAGAATATGAGGGTGTTCTGGCTTCTAGCTCTTGACCCCTAAAACCAAAGGGATTTTGGAGGCAGCTGTCCCATGTGTGGAAGATGTGGGCAAAACCGCCCCAAATGTGGCACATTGCCTGAGGTGCTTGGGGGGCATTCAGCTCCTGTCTGGCTCATCCTTTTGTTCATGCCAGAGTAAGGTAGAAGAAGATAAACCTGTTGTCCTTGTAATGGGAGCCTAGCCCACCCTCAGCCAGATCCAGAGCCATTTTCCAAAGTGATGCCTATGAATGGCTGAAGAGACTTACAGGCTGGTACCCCTACCTGCCATCCACGAACTTCCCCTGGGAGTGCTGTAAGGCCTAGTTGAACATCAGTCCTTTCCTCAGAGGCCTATCTTGAACACTATCCTGGTTACATGAGCACATGTGGATACAGTCTACATTGCAGCTTTCAATCCTGAATTAACTTTGTCCCCAGCTTGCTTGTGATGTCAGGAACATAAAGGGTCCCCTTAGGCTCTCTGCATAAGAGGGGTGACTAGATGGGAACCCATTTGATCAGCTACCAGCAGAAACTACCAGTATTCCCCATCGTCCCATCTGTACCTCGTGCACTGGTTACAGCATAAGTTCTGCTCCCAGTGACAGTTCCTAGGACCTCTTCACTCGCCTGCTATCACCAAGTTGTTCCCTGCAATGCTGCTGGTGTACTCTGCCTCTCACTGGATACCATGTTCAAGCATCACCACCTATAGCCATGTCTGCACTCACCTCAGGCTGCACCCCTATGAACAGAGGATCCCATGTTCTTACAGGGTCCCTCTTGTTTTTTCTCTCTCCAGTCCTCCCTCCTCATGCACACATCAAATGAGTTTCTTGCAGTCTCCCCTCCCTCTCTCTTCCCCTGCTCCCTGATACAAATGCACTCTCAGAATCTCCCTCAGTCCTTTTCACATAAGCCCCTTCTTACACATACACACATACCCTGCATGCTCCCTTAGTCTCATGCATACAGTCCCCTCTGGCACAGTTCCCATTTCATGCCACGTCTCACACTTGTATCCTCAAACTCTCACACAAAGCCCTCACCTATCTCATGTACACACTCCAACAGCAGCAGCCTTACTTCCTTTCTTTCAGCCTCATTTCTTTCAGGCAGAATCCTCTCCTCTCTTTTTCTCTTATATTCAGCCCTCCTCTTTCTCACGCACACAGCACCTCTCGCTTCCCGTCCCTCTGGCATGTAGCACACAGTCCCACTTGCTCTCCCCCATACACAGATACAGAGCCCTTGCTCCCTCTCACTGCATGCACACAAAGTCTCTTTCACTTTCCGTTTTTCTCTCAGACAGCCCCTTTTGCTTGCTTCCTTGTTCGCACACTCATGTGCTCACACATGCACACACGGTGTCTCTCACCTCACTGGCTCCTCTATTTCAGAATCCTTAGAAGGATGCTCTATCTCTTCCAAGCTGAGCTCCAAGGATTGGTTTCTCTTTTTGCTTTCTGTGGTGCCAGCTTGTCCCTAGCCCTGGCTCTGTGCACAGTTTTATCAGGACAGACAAAAAGCTGTTGCTGTGCTGGAGTCAGCAGCTTGTACCTTGGTTCCCTGCATCATATTTTTTTCCCAGGCCTGTCCCTTTCTGACGTTTCTTCATTCCTCATTTAGTGCTCTTATTAGTGGGTACAGTATCTGTGAAAGCTGCCATATTCCATAGAGAAGGCAAACTACTACTACCACAACAATAAGCAAACAAATGATTTGC